ATCTCTTCTGCTCTCCATCCGAGCTGGCTTGCGGAGGGCCGAGCGGTCGCGCGTGGATTAGGCGGGCTATAAAACCTCTGTGGAGACAGATTTCTTTTCCCTTTATTATTTTTTTGTAAACGCTTTTAGAAGAATTATCCGTTACCAAAAAATAAAAAAATGGGGTGGGAGAGTGCTTGAAGAGTTGTTCGAGGAATCCAGAAATGTTGCCAACCTTGGAGGGCGACGGTAGGAAAAAGGGAAGTAACAGAATGAATGGAAGCGCAGAGAGACAGAGCGAGCTGTAAATATGGTGTTTTGTATAGGAAACTTGGCTTGGAGATAACCCCTTTTAGCGAAGGCTGGATGGAAAATACCACCCTAAGAGGCCAGGATTTCCAAGGGGGGTTGACTTCAGAAAATAAGTATTAGCACAACCTAAAAACCAGGCACATGCTTGCAGTTGCTGAAAAGGGAAAGGAAACTTGGAAGAGCCATTAAATAAAGATTGCAATAAAATCTCAGAAGGTGCCACTGCAAATTCCTCGAAACTGGAGAGGGAAAAATGGACGATGCTTCCTCTGGTTGGCCCTAGTTGTAGCTGTTATCGGCTGAGGTAAACTCACTCTAAAAATGTTAAATTAAGCCCTGGTACTTTCAGAGCCTCTGGACAATGTTCTAAACATAATGGCTTTGCCTGGAGCAGAACTTCCTCCCAGGTGTAACATTATTCCTGCAGCCCCTTCCTTGCCCAAGTGAAAACAAATAGGAACTTCCCCAAGCAGCCCAAGGTGCAATAATATGGCTCTTCCCACAGCAGTGGCTGAACAGAGCTTTAGGGCATGAGTGAACCAGTTACGTGGGGATGATCTTAGGAGTGTCTGGCTCGGCTTTTGGAGATACGGTGCTGTTAATGTGAGGAGCCCCTGAAGGGCTTGTAGGATCCTGTTCCTTTCAAACCTGCATACCCCCAGTCCCCTCTATGCTACATGAGGAAGGACAAATGTTTCTTATGGGATAAAATGCAGATTTAGTGTCTGTATCTGGAAACAACTGTCTTTGGTGTTTAAAAAACAACTCTCTGACAAAGCTATGTGAAATAATACATAGTCTATGCAGTGTTTCTCAACCTTGGCAGCTTGAAGATGTGTGAACTTCAATTCCCAGAATTCCCCTGCTGGCTAGGGAATTCTGGGAGTTGAAGTCCACACATCTTCAAGCTGCCAAGATTGAGAAACACTGGTGTATGGTTTCAGGAAGATGTCTTGTTCCCCAGTGAAGGTGGAAACAAGGATTATTTATCTGGGGATTACAGGATTAATTGTGAACAGCAGACCCATTCTTGCTCACAGAGAAAGGGGGTTTGCCTTCCAGAGCTGGGTTCACACCAAGTTACCTTCATACCAGGAAAAAAAAACATATCCTTGCTGGCTTTGATAGATTTATGAAGCCTCTAACATGGCAACTGTAGCGTATACCCTAATGTGTGTTGATGCTGGCTGCAGGGAAAGCTGCTGTTGTCTTGAGAGGAAAATTGTCTCCAGCTGTATGTAGACATCCTGCAAAAGCTTAGTTGAAGCTAGAAAAGGGAGCTAAATAATTGCCCAGTCAAATAATGGGTTTTTGGCTGTATTGAAGCAAAAATGAGGTACAGCTGACTCTTTCCTTACAGGTGTAGTAAAGAGTGAAGGATGTAGGAGTCAAGCTGAGTTGTGGCTTCTGTTGATGAAATAAAATCTAAAGTAGATGGCCACATGGTAGGTGTCCTGCTGTTCTGTGTAACCTTGATTAGCTAAAATGCTTGCTGTTCACTCAGCCTGTTTGATGTGTAGAGTCGGCTGCTACGTGTCAAGGAAAATAATTATCAACAATGCTTTGGTGACCTCTGATACAAGAGATGGAATTTTCTCTTGGGCTACATGTCCAGAAAGATCTAGAAACTGCTTTGTAAGCAGAAGAATAGCTGTATGTGTGCAGATGTAATGTTTAATTCTGGTTAAAAAGGTCTTAATCAGACTACTGAATTTGGGAGTAATGTAGGATCAAGGAATACGATGCAGATGTGAAATGTGGTGGTACAGTTTTATTAGTTATTTTTGAGGAAACTTGAAGACA